ATTTATACAGAAAAATAAAACCCGATCTTATGGGTTTGCTAGCATAATTCTGGTTACTGATACCGCCGCTAAGATATATAATCGTTTTCAGTTTTTGGTACTGGATTGATACGGCGTGAAGTCTATCCTCTTGCTTCTTTTTTGCAAATTTTTCTTCCTTTGCCTTACGATTCTTCTTTCCTGCCCCAGTGAGATAGAGTAGGTAGGACTGTCCAGTGGACCTCGAGGCCAAGCCATAGTTTGTTGACACAAAGGTCGTAACGTCGACCTCTGGTCGTCGTGGTCATCGCTGTTATTTGGAACACGTTACCTCTTTTGCTTTCTGTTCCATCTCTGTATCCAGCAACACTTTTTTCGATCGCAAAACATGAAATCAGTCAATACTTAACTGAACTGAACGAAAGCGTCGTCAATTTAAAATTCCATCTTAAATATTTTTCTGAACATGTTTCTGTTGCTGTCAAACAGACTGAATTGCTTTCATTTTGGTATTATGAAGTGTTCTATGTATATATGCTGTTCATTACAGGCATATGATCAACATTTGAACATGATATTAAGCGATGTAGAAGAAACGGTGACTGTCGTTGAAATCGATGAAGAAACCTATGAAGAAGTTTACAAGGTACGGTTTGCTATATTTTGCCGGAAGTTAATATCTCTTTTGTTTAAGCAAACCAAAAGACACATGCAAATGCTTTTTGTTCGTGGAGACGGTGTGATTCTAGTGGCTCCACCGCTCAGAGCTGCTGTGTCCTAAATTTGACCAGAGGAAAAAGTTCTTTGGCCTGACCAACGCAGTTTTGAAGAGGTGAAGACTGCAAGGGTTGGTCTGTTTGCTGTAAAGTTAAACTTACAATGCAACTATGCAGTTTTGCTAGCGGTTTTGCAAATTTGTAATAAATAGTGACCTCTCTCAGCAGATTCAGTTGCTTTCAAGCATAGATACCCTTTGTCTTCAGCCGAAAGTGCGAGTTGAAAACTTGCAGATTTAGTGCGAAACAGCCTGGAGTATAAGACGTATGCCGTAATGACAGTTCCTAAGAGGTCGGCTTCGAATTTCAGAGATACAGGGTATGATTTTGGTCCAGGGCAATTTTTGTCTTAACTACGAATTGCTGCGCAAGGAATTTACCTCACGTTTTTTATAGACCGGGATTGTTCTGCCGGTAGAGCGTCACACAGAATCAAGAGGTCCCAAGTTCGAGCCCCCATCGAGACCACTCGTCTTTTTTGTTTCAAGCGTCGATTAGTGAGTACTGTTCTGCGGAAAGGAAACAGACCAACGCTCTGCTTGCTACATCGCTGCTGTAGACTCTGAATTTAAAAGATAATGCGCTTCTGGCTGATGGCATGGCAATGTCAGTCAGCGTCCTATCTTTAACTTCATGAAAAGTATGCCATCTGAAATGACCCCACCAGGAAAATGAATAAATGGTCGACATTCCAAATGTTACAAACTTTCCTTTTCTTTATAAAACGTATACTTTCTACTGTGATCAAAGAAACTCTAGGGTCAATCTTCAACCTTCATCTTAAGATTTTGTATTATTCATACTCTCTGTTGATTGCTATTAACATTAAAAGTACCTTGAACTTCTATTTTTACGAAAGCATTGGCTGCGTGAATACATGTGTATTCGTAATGTCAATGCAAATAGGTTAAAATAGTGTTATGTAAAAAATCTGAAAATTGTGTACTATGGAGAGAAAAAGCCATCTAACATATAGTAGTGTATTAATCTTTGCAAGAATCAGTTTTTTTAAACATTTCATTAAGGCTATCAGTGAATGCCTATCGTTTCATCTCTCTGGATCTACATCACCTAAAAACAGATATTTCCGTACAAACTGTTATCTGACGACTTGATTGATTGATTGAAAGACCACAGTCAACACAATGAACGAATGCGAACTAGCAATACCATTCGCAGTGACGCAGTGTTCTTTTTCACTCATTTGAGACTTGGTTATTCATCCATGCATTAACGACGTAAATGTAAATAGCTGAAAACTTTGCTAAATAATTTACTAATGCGAAACAGCCTCAGCCAAACGACATTAATTGAGGCATCTCTAAGAAATATCTGAGCTGAAGTAAAGGATAGTACGATCTTCTGAATGTTGACTAAGCGCAAACTTGCTCCTCACAAATTCAACCTTTATTCACCATATCATACAAAGTCTGTACTTCTGTAAACCAGAGTGCTGAAGGTAAACTGATTTGAAACGTAAATTACAGAAAGTCTGATTAGTAGGTGAAGCATCCAGAAAATTTCTAATATGCACCAATCACCTACAGAATTAGACTAGCATTAAATTCTCGTGACAGGTGTATCAGCCCTGTATATCCAAGAAAGTAAGATTGACTGCGAGACTCAATGTCAGTGTTTATAAGCCTCCAATAAAGTTTTGCCGCTAATCATAAGGATGCTTGATGCGAAATGGTGTAAATCATGCTTTTCGGACAGACGTTAGAAGTTATTAGTTTCAGTTTATTATGTGAACGTAGAGTAAGTGATTACAGTATAAAATATATATTACATAACGTGCATAATATAAGCAACGGCATAGTTTCATACCTGCTGGTGTTATAAAAATTTTCATGTATGTAAACTGCATGAAGCAGGAATCTTGAAAAGAGAATGTTATGCTATTCGTGATATGCTGTGAATCTTATCCTACAACGAATGAGATCAGTGGAACTTGGCCCTGCTAAGTAGGAGAGATGTGTCGAGAGAACCGAATCGATGGTCATTCTCTGTTTGTCTTCATCAGCTTGCAATGGACGTTATTTCTGGAAAACTGTGATGATGAAGCATTGGTTATGTTTTGAAGACGCGTAGCCCATTCTTTTTGCTCCGGTTTTTGCATGAAAGCTTTCTTTGACATTTTTTTCACCTGGTGGACGAATCATCGTCATCAATGAATCTGCACGGCAAATCGTAAAACAGCGGCATCGTCGTGGTCACCGTGGGAAGAACGGGACTCATTTTTGGTGTGGATTCCTTTTCGGTGGCTTTAGCGTTGATCGTCTGCTCGATCATAGTATCTAACGTCGCCTGCAGATCCAGAATTTCCTCGTTTGTGGCTCCGTACTTTTTTCCTATGGCGACAACCAAGTCGTTCACGGTGAGCACCTTGTTGCCGAACCACACTAAAGCCTCCCTGGCATTCATAATACGCTTACCAAGGTAGTGAATCTTGCGCAGGTATTGACCCATTAGGTCGATCATCAGCG